TATGCTTATAGTATATACTAGCACTGTAGCCTGAAACCCATCCCGGCAGGCACTGGGCAGTCTCGCATCAGCTCAGGGTCACAGTGCCTCATGCAGGGAACACCACAGGGCAGGCCTCTGGTGAACACAGGGTGAGCGAGCAAAAACGCTGGGCAAAGTTCCTATAAGGATGGTCCCCTCTTACTCAGTGGTCAGCTTAGGAACCTTCTTTGTTTTCTGGTTTCTACCTGTGAGCACCAACCTTGAGGGAGCTTAAAATGTATTGAATCAGGGCCAGTGTGGTAGCCTAGCTGCTAAAGTGCTCACCTTGCACACACTGGGATCCCATATGGGCACTGGTTCTAATCCCGGTGGCCCTGCTTCCCATCCAGCTCCCTGCTTGTTGCCTGCGAAAGCTGTTGAAGACGGTCCAAGGCCTTGGGACCCTGTACCTGCGTGGGAGATCTGAAAGAGGCTCCTGGTTCCTGGCTCCAGATTGGCTCAATTTTGGCCACTGAGGCCACTTGGGGAGTGAATCAGCGGATGAAGATCTTCCTCTCTGTCTCTCCTCCTTTCTTTATATCTGACTTTCCAATAAAGATAGAATCTTTAGAGTGTTGGGGCAGAATCCCAGTCTACATGAAAAACAAAAAATAGCAGTGAAAAATAAATAATACAAAATCTGTAAAAAATAAATGGAATCATCTACGAGTCTGACAAGATCTGTGTGGGTTGGCCTGCTGTCTGTGCGCTCTCTGCCGGGGCTTCCCTCCCGGTGGCCGTGGCCCTGGGACATGTGGCCTTAGGCTGCAGGCTGTCACAGGCCGCGTACAAGGGCCTTCTTTCAAGTGCTGATGGACACTCGGCCGTCAGGTACTGTCTTTCTCAGTATATCAATGGCATTTTCAGTCCGGTAGACTTTCAATCTGTGTGCCCATGTTACGAAAGTATCGAACCCTTATAAAGTCTCTATTTCATGTACAGTTGGTGGGATCTCTCCGACACGGAACTCCGAGGCCTGCGTCTCAGCTCCTGAACTGGTCTCCCCGGGGACTTGGGTGCCTGGCTGGTCGCAGCTGAGGTGTTTTGCTGTCTTCCCTTCCCCTAGCCCAGCTGAGCACACCTGCTTCGTGTGCGACTCGGGGGCCACATAAGCAGGATGGTTACTTGTTCCTCTGCAGTCCAGGCCGGGGGGTTCTGCCTGCAGTCTATCTTAGGACCCTGAATCATTGGGTCTGGCCCTACCAAAGCAACCTCAAGTGGGACCCCAGATCCAATCTATAATAGGCTAATTTTTACCAAAGTCTGTGGAGAATGCTATAAATTTCCAAATGATCATGGCAGAAAAAATGTTCCCAGCCTTGCCTCCTCTTGTTGAAATGCCACAGGGTGGGGCCACAGATCATGGAGGCAGGCAGGGTGACCACTGCCCATGGGCTGCAGTATCCGTCAATCTAGTTGGAAATCACATTTAGGTAGAGCGACTTAACACAATGGGAATATTAATCGTTGGATCCACTGAGACACACTGGGGAGACTGGGCCCCTCACCCCTATACCCTTCAAAGCTTTCATGGGCGTTTGACTTTTATCTCCCCCACGCCTGGGTGCCTGGGTCGTTGGGAATTGGCCTTTAGCAGCTCCGCACCTCCATAACCCATCTTCTCACAAGGTCATCCAAGGAAACTGTTTTCAGTTTGGTAAAAGTAACCTTTAATAGTATTCATTTCTCTTTAATTCAATTTGCCATTAGCTACACTGTTTCATGAGCTTCACTCAAGAGATACAAACGTGTTTGTAGAGATCACACAGGTTTGGGGGCTGCTGCTATGGGATGGTAGGCTAAGCCTCTGCCCGCAGCACATCATCCCAGGAAGATTCTGGTTCTAGACCTGCTGCTGCACTGGGATCCAGCTCCCTGCAGACAGCCTGACAAAGTAGCAGAGGATGGCCCGGTACTCCAGCCTCTTTACCCACGTGGGAGACTGGATAATGCTCCCTTTAAGTTGTATTTATTGTTATTGCTAAGGCAGATCTATAGAGAGGAGATACAGAGAGAAAGATCTGTCCACTGGCTTACACCCCAGTGACTGCAACGGCCCAAGCTGAATCCATCTGAAGCCAGGAGCCAGGGGCTTCTTCCGGATGCAGGATCCCAAGGCCTTGGACCATCCTCCGTTGGTTTCCCAGGCCACAAGCAGGGAGCTGAATGGGAAGTGGAGCAGCTGGGATGCGAATGGGATCCCAGTGCACGCAAGGCGAGCATTTAACCACTGAGTCATCGCACCGTGGACTATCTTGTGGTTCTGCCTTTCAAATAAAAATGGGTGAATCTTTAAAAAAAAATCATCTATGGGGGGGGGTCCTTCGGACGCGGGTGCGTGTTCTTGGGGACCTGGGAAAGTTTTGTTTCCACTTCTTGGACTGCCCCGGACTCCTCCCAGGTACCTGCTCGCCCCGCAAACTACGGAGCACGCGCTTCCTGGCCCTCCCCGCCGAGGGGGCCCAGGCCTGCCCAGGCAGGCCAGGCTTCCTGACCACTCCCCTGCACTGAACCTACTTTCCACCTTGGGTCCCCGCTGGGTCCGAGTGGCTGCAGGCCCGGAGAGAAAACAAAAGTTGGCCGCGCTCACCTCAGTCCCCTCTGCTCTCCCAGCCAAAGAACAGCCGGACCGGGCGCTGCGGGGGCAGGCGGGAGTCCCGCGGTCACGGGCGACCCCGGCACCGCGCGCGCGTCCGGGGCGCCGGGGCCGCGGGATGCGCCTCCGAGGCCGAGCGGCGCCGGGAGCCCCGCGGCCCGCGCGCCCCGCCCCGGCCCGCCCCCCGCGCGCGCCCCGCCCCCGCCGCCGCCTCCCGGGCCCCGCGTCCCGCCCTCCCGGCCTCCTCGCCCGGCCGAGCTGGAAGCCGGACCCAGGCCGCCGGGCCCGGCCTCGCCGCCCGCGCCCGCCATGGCCCGCGCCGTTCTCCCCTGGTAAAGATGGCGGTGCGCGCTCGCCGCCACCTTTAGACTAATGACTGTCCGCAACATCGCCTCCATCTGTAATATGGTGAGTGCGGCCGCCGCCGCCCCGGGCCGCGAAAGGGGACCTGAGCCGCGCGCACGCCGGGGCGGGGGCCCGGGCGCGGGTCTCCTCGCCGGAAGTTCTCGGCCGGGCCGGGCGCGCGGCCTCAGCCCCGGAGCGCCGGCCACTGGGGCCGAGCGCCCTGGGGGACACTCGGGCGACCGGCTGCTCGGCGGCTGCCTCGGGGGACCCCGGGCCGTAGCTCGGGGGCCGGGCGTGCCGGGGGAGGGGCGCCCGCCCTCTGCCTGGCGGTGTTATTGAGCCCCCCCGGGACCCCCGGGCTGGCCCCCGTCTCCTTCCGAGGTCAGTTCTCGGGTGCGTGACCGCCACTTGGCTGCGGCGGTCGGTGTGTCTGGAGAGACCTGCCGTGTGCTCCGGCCGCGGCCGAGCGCGGTGTTGCGGTCGCACGAGTGAACTTGAGCGGCGGGGGCTGCTGATGCCTCTGTTTCCCGGTGTGTGAAGGAGGGATGGGCTCTCCGTGGCAGGAACGGTGGCAGGCCCCGGGAGCGGGCTGTGTGCGCTGGGGAGGTGTCCCGGGCTGTGCCGCCGGCTCCGGGGTGCTGCCGGTTGGCGAGGACCCGGCCAAGGCGCCCGGCCCTGGGCTCCTCTGCCGTCTCGGGCCGCGACCTGCCGTCCCTCCCTTTACAGTTTGTGCGGACACAGCGCCCACGGGGTCCCCTGGGCTCTCCCTGCCGGCCTCCCACTTGTCGGCCTTGGGGCGCTCAGCCTGGCCGCGCCGGGGGAGTGGAGGCGTGTGTGCCTGCTCCTGTCCCCGCACCTCTCTCCAGCCGGGACACTCCTCCTTTAGAGCCTCTCATCTTAGTGGTGGGGGGACTCCTTTGAGGGGATAGCTGTCCCTAAACGGGGACCCCGGAAGAGGTTGGAGATGAGCAGTCTTGGGATAAGGCTCGCCGCCCGCCCCTCCCGGACCACCGGCCCTTTAACGCTCGTGCCCCACATTCTGTTGGCAGTCCTGGTCAGTTCGGGGCAGGCTTCAGCTTTCCACCCTCTGGACTTGGCCGAGGCCAAGCAGAGGCGGGGCTGCCCAGAGGGGCCGGCACAGGTGCTGGCACAGGGCGAGCTCGGCGGGGCTGCCCAGAGGGGCCCGGCACAGGTGCTGGCACAGGGCGAGCTCGGTCTGGCTGCCCAGAGGGGCCCGGCACAGGTGCTGGCACAGGGCGAGCTCGGTGTGGCTGCCCAGAGGGGCCGACACAGGTGCTGGCGCAGGGCGAGCTTGGCGTGGCTGCCCAGAGGGGCCGGCACAGGTGCTGGCGCAGGGCGAGCTCGGTGTGGCTGCCCAGAGGGGCCGGCACAGGTGCTGGCACAGGGCGAGCTCCGTGCGTGGTCTCTCCATCTTCTGGCTTCCGCAGCAGCCGGCTTCCCTGCTTCTCCCTGTCGAGTGGCATCAGCGTTGCTTGGTGCAGTGAGAGGGAGAAGCTGTTATTTTTTCTCGCCTTCTCTCTGCTGCAGCTGGCTCCTGAGGGGAGCTGTGAAAGCAGAGCCGCCTTTGTGCCCGCCTGGTGGCCGCAGGCCTGCTTGGTGGCCGAGGCTGGCCTGCTCCTGGTGCTGTTCTGCACTCCAAATCCTGAAGCAGGTTGGATACTCCAAGCGTTGGCCGGGTCCCAGGGGGTGCCAGCCTCTAGCTGCTTTTATTTTGCTCATGGCGCACCTGGGGCTCTTGGCCCACTTGGCAGAATGTCACAGTCTGTCTCCAGTGAGATGCAGCGGGAGGACAAGCCTCTGGGAGGGCGGCAGGCTGGCACTGCGTCCCAGGTAGACACCTGGACAGGCGCCGTTCTGAGAGAGCTCTTGGCAGTTCCTCAGAGGAAATATCTGCTCTCGCTGCATCCCTGTGTGGGGACTTTGAGCTCTCAGGGCCTCCCTGGCCTTGGTCTCTCCTTATCTCCCTGCAGGAATGGGGCGGGGACATTGCTTTATCTCCTCGGGACAGGGACTGCTAGCTGTTCAGGTCAACACCATCCAGTGGGTTCAGGCACAGCAGAGGACGCGCAGCCCTGTGGGTTGGTGTGTGGCCCCTGTGGGTTGGTGTGGGGCTGGGATGGTGGCCCCTCGTGCAGGCTGCTCAGGGCCCCTCGCCCCTGAGGAGGAGGGTGGGCAGCAGAGAGACTGCTGTGCTGTGGCCCCGTCAGACGCCAGTGTCCGGTGCACCCCTCTCCTGGGCCTCCCCTCAGCGATGAACTGTTTCCAGGTAAGTCTCTGCTTCTCCCCCAACTCGCCGTCACCTGGCCCCTCCTCCCCGCTGGCTGGTGTTGGTGGTAAGAGCCTGTGGGGGTTGTAGTCTCCTCTTTGAAGATTTTATTATTTGAGGGGCAGGGATAGAGTGAGAGAGAGAGGTAGCGTCCATCTGCTGGTTTGGTCACTCCCCAGATGACCGCTGTGGCGGGATGTGGGTCTAGGCCAGGTCAAAGCCAGGATTCTGGCACTTGTTGCAGTTCTCCCGTTGGGTTCAGTGGCTCAGGCACTCGGACCGTCCTCTGCTGCTCTCCCAGGTGCATTAGCAGGGAGCTGGGCGCAATTGGAGCAGCCAGGACTCGAATCATTCTGCCCCATCGCAGGCAGAAACTTGCTATGCCACAGTGCCAGCCCCTGAATTTTTCTAATTTCAGTTTTTTTAAAGATGCATTTATTTGTTTTGAGTTATTTTCCTTTGAAAGGTAGATTTGCAGAGAGAAGGAGTGAGAAGTATTTCCATCTGCTGGTGCTGGTTCACTCCTCAGTAGCCAGAGCTGAGTTGATCTGAGGCCGGGAACCAGGAGTCAACCCGGAACCAAGAGCCAAGGTCCCCATGCTTCCCCTGACCCCCTGCAGGTACTTCCGGGTTCAGATGTTGCCTCCTGTCCACTTGCCCCTGACCTGCCGAAGTTTCTGTGGCCCCTGGGGCCCTGGGAGTTGGTTGCTGGTTTCCATTCACTTCTCCTTCTTCCTCTTCTGGGCGAACTCTTGCCATGGTCATTCTTGATCGCCTTGCTCAGGGCGAGTTGGCCTGGCCCCGCAGGTGGTTCGGAGAGGTGAGCTTGTCTGGCTGGTGTTGGCCTGGCCCCGCAGGTGGTTCGGAGAGGCGAGCTTGTCTGGCTGGTGTGTTGTAACTTTCAGACTACACTCACTGCTATCAGGCATGAAGGAGTGGCCCCTGTTGGTAATCCTCTGACTTGTGTCCGGACCAATGGGTTTGTTAGCAGAGATGATCAGAGAAGGTTCTAGTGTTTGTGCAAGAATGAATTCAGATGTGAGACACTAGTGTGGGCAAGGCAGCGAGGTTTAATGGGGTGAGGCATCTGTCAGAAAAGACGGACTCTGAGAGGGAGAGCGGCCAGGCACTGAGACTGGGGAGAGCCAGGTGACATGGCGGGGAGAACAGACGTGGGGGCTCGGGGGAAGCTGAGTGCTCAGCCTGTATTCAGGTTGGGCCTTCTAGGGGACTCGGTCATGTTCTTCCTGCCATTTCTCCTTCCCCTGGTCCTTCTTCTCCTGGGCAGAAGGTTTGCTGGGTGTGAAATAGGTAAGATTCGGCCTCAGGTTTTATTACTTGCTGTTACCAGACTTGGTAGCTCCCCTGAAGTGTAAGATGCTGGCCTGCTTCTTTACAGGATGCAACTTCTGTCTGTTTGCCTTGGGCTCCTCCTACATGAGTAGGCTAATTTTTGACTTCCTATCTGTTTTTAAAAAGGTGTATTTAGTTTTTGAAATGGTTATAGTGGCCAGGGCTGGGCTAGGCGAAAGTCAGGAGCTTGGGCCTCCATCTGTGTCTTTCATGTGGGCCATCCTCTGCTGCTTTCCCAGGCACATTAATCAGGAGCCAGATTGGAAGTGGAGCAGCTGGGACTCCAACTGGTCCTCATGTGGGATGCTGGTTCTACCCGCTGCACATAGCACTGGTCCCAGGACTTGGTGCATGTTTTTGTGGCCTTGTCCAATAGATGGTTCTTTTTTTTTTTAAGATTTTTATTTATTTTTATTGGAAAGGCAGATATACAGAGTGGAGGAGAGACAGAGAGGAAGATCTTCTGTCCAATGATTCACTCCCCAAGTGACCACAACAGCCGGTGCTGCGCCAATCTGAAGCCGGGAACCAGGAACCTCTTCCAAGTTTCCCATGTGGGGGCAGGGTCCCAAAGCTTTGGGCCGTCCTCAACTGCTTTCCCAGGCCACAAGCAGGGAGTTGGATGGGAAGTGGAGCTGCGGGGATTAAAACCGATGCCCATATGGGATCCCGGCACGTTCAAGGTGAGGACTTTAACCACTAGGCCATGCCGCCAGGCCCAATGGATGGTTCTTAAGGTTTCTGTTGAAAGGGCTTGTCTGGAGGAAGCAAAGTGGCCTGTGCTCTTGGAGTTGCTCCAGGTCATCCTGTCTTCCTTTCATTTGCTGCTGGTGCTGGGAAATGGGCTTCTGAGGAAATGCCTTGCACCAAGCTGATTACAAGCTGTGTTTGCACAAATGACCAAGTGTTGTCATCAGCCATGTTGTTGCTGCACCTGTGGCCCACGGGTGCCTGGTCAGTGGAGAAGGTGAGGACATGCCCCCGGCAGCTCTACCATTCCTCATTTTGTGGGCATAGTGTTGGCAAGATGAGACCATTTCTGGGCAGTGTGATATTTGCATGGATGGAGGCTGAACAGAGCCCCAGGAGCAAGCTGCAGAGTACAGGATCAGTGAGGGGTTGGCGTCGCACAGTGGGTTAAGCTGTCACTGACTGCAATGCCAGCATTCCGTTTGTGTCCCAGCTGCTCTACTTTCCATTCAGCGTCATGCTAATGTAGCTGGGAAAGCAGTAGAGGATGGCCCAAGTGCTTGGGTCCTGCACCCACTGAAAGTGGGAGACCTGGCGGAAACTCCTGACTCCTGGCTCCAGACCAGCTCAGCATTGGCTGTTACGGCCATTTGTAGATTAAACCAGCAGATGGAATATCTCTTTCTGACTCTCTTCCTCTCTCTATAACTGTCTTCCATATAAATAAGTGAACATTAAAGCTGATGGACACAGCAGGACATATCTTTGATATGCTTTTTTTGACTGAAATTTGGCAAAGTTAGGTGTTTGTAACTTTTCTTTTATAGGGGGTCCTGGGGAGTGTGTGGGAGCTGGGAGCTGTGCCTTGTGCAGCTGCCCTGATAAGCGTGCATCTCATAGTAGCTTTGGGCAAATTGCTGTTTCTTCCGTGTCAGTTCCCGCTTCCTCCTCCAGTGTGTAAAACTGAGATATGTGTGTTATGAGAAGCTTTTTAAAACAAGACTTTATTTATTTTGCTTGAAAGAGTTGGAGATTAGAGGGAGAGGGAGGGAGGGGGAGACACTGGAGAGAGAGCTGTTCACTGGTTTACTTCCCAAGTGGCCACGGCCGTCAGCCTGGGCTGGTCTGAAGCCAGGAGCCAGGAGCGTCTTCTGGGTCCCACGTGGGTCAGAGGCCCCAGGGCTGTCCTCCCTGTTTTTTGAGGAACACTAGCAGGGAGTTGGGTCGGAAGTGGAGCAGGGTGAATTTAAACCAGCACCACCCCCAAGATACCTGTGCCATACTGACTGTGCCGGAGCACTGGCCTGTGAATGGGATTTTTAAGAGCATTTTTTTTTTTTAAATGAAACTCTGCATTTCTTAATTGGCCAGTACCTCCTGGAGTAGCTGGCCGTGCTGATGTCTCATTTGGTAGCATTTTAGCATCCAGGGCACAACCCCAAGGTGCTGCTTGACACCAGTTTTTTGAGTGCCATGTTTGACTTCTTTCACACAAATGAAGTCACTTTGAAATGAAGGGAGAGTAAAATTGGTAAGAATTTGGAAAAACATTGAAGCCTAGGGGATTTTTTTTAAATAAAAATAGCTTTTGTCTTGGTAAATCAACTACTTGGACTGAACATTTTGAAATTGTAAAGTTTTGTTTGAGAAAAAATTTTAATTTTTTTTCAAATTTTGTTTCATTTATTTTCATCTGTTTGAAAGAGTAAAAGAGAGAGAGGGAGAGAAATCTATCACCCATTGATTTATCTCCCAAATGGATGCAGTGGCTAGGCTGGGCTTAACTGAAGCCAGGAGCAGGAATTCTATCCGGGTCTCCCATGGGGTGGCCAAGTACTTATGTCACCCCCTGTCGCCTTCCAAGGCACCTTGGTGGGAAGCTGGATTGAAAGCGGAACAGCTGGATGGGAGCCAGGGCGGGGGAGTGGGGTCTGGGAAGACAAATTTACAAAGAGATGGAGAGACAGAAAGATCTTGTGTCCACTGGTTCACTCCCCAAGGGAGTGGCCAGAGCTGAGCTGATCCAAAGCCAGGAGCTGGGACTTTCTTCTGGGTCTCTCTGGTGGTGCAGGGTCCCAAGGCTTTGGGTCAGCCCCTGCTGCTTTCCCAGGCCACGCGCAGGGAGCTGGATGGGAAGTGGAGCACCGGGGCGCCAGCGGCCTTATGGGATCCTGATGTATGCAAGGTGAGGATTTTAGCCACTGAACTATTGCGCTAGGCCTGGAAATTTTATTTTTAATGAAAGTGTGTCGACCTGCTAGTTGGGAGGAAGGGACAGCTTGCCTGGCTGTGGTCACTGCTCAGCCTTTCCGTCCTTGAAGAAGCACAGCTGCAGAGGTGGTTAGCGGGTCAGCAGGGAGTGGGTGCAGTCGCCACAGTCTCTACTCTGGACAGTGGCTAGATTTTCAAAAAAAGCACTGAGAGTGGTGGTTAATGTTTAAGGAAAAGACCTTCTCCTGTGGCCCCGCGGCTCTCGCGCACAGGAGTCTAAGCTGGCTCACAGTGCGACCAGCACGTTGGCAGATTCTTCTGTTTTTCTTGGACTCCACGGGGAAAATGAAGTCTTAATTTAATGAGGATTGAGCATGGGAGTCACTCCTTTGGCCACCAGCTCCGTGTGTCCTGTGAATTATAGCAGACAACCTGTTCAGTTTTTGGTAATTTGGAACTTTGGAGTGTGTGTGTGCCTTGTCAGTGAAAGTAATTTTCAATTTTAATTCACTGTTGACAGTTTTTTTTTTTTTCTTAAAGGCAGAGTTACAGAGAAAAAGGGACACAGAAAAAGAGATTTTCCAACTACTGGTTCACTCCCAAAATGGCCGCAGTGGCCGGAGCCAGGCCAGTCAGAAGCCAGGAGCTTCTTCTAGGTCTGCCATGTGGGTGCAGGGGCCCAAGCGCTTAGGACATCTCCCCTCCCCCCCCCCAGGTGTATTAGCAGGGAACTGGATCAGAAGTGG